GGCTCCGGACCGTACGTGGTTGGTCGTCGGAACGTATAAACCCGGATGAAAAAAATATAATTCTTTCAGAATTTATAGGATTATTACGTCTATCTGCGAATATTTATACGTGCCTCCGAACTACCGCGCAATAATTAGTCTAAGAAAGATAAATGAAGCGGATAGGTCGGACTAGAGATTTGGGACCATACGAATTTAAAAAAACCCTTCCGGGATTTCGAATCATTTCTTTCTCTTTGATTGATTTTTATAATGATTCGGCGGAATCTGCAGATTCGAGATGAAAATTTAAAATTTTTCAAAATCTAAAGATGAATCGTATTTGATCAACGAGAAAATATCTATAATTAGAAAAATATAGAATATCATTTATCATATTAAGATATTCTAAATACTCTCATGATATTCTCTCGCAAGATAAAGAATTATTATACGAAATTTCATGAAATATCAAGGGAATAGAGACGCCGGCTCTATCCGTCAGGGAAGCAAGGCCATATCACGATTTGGATTTCGAATTGAAGCTAAATTTTCATATATCTATGAAGGAATATCTATATATAGATATATATAATATAGACGATATAAATACGCCGCGTTGAATTATTGAGAACTAGATTTGGTCCGCTGCTTTAGCAATATAAAATAAATATTTGAGAAAATCCATAACGAGAAATCCGATGAACAAGCAAAATAAAGATTGCATATGCAGCCCGATGAATTATCAGTATTTTAAGTTCGCACGTGACAGTCTGAAAGATTTTAGATCTCCGAGTTGCCGCTTAGATAACCAAAGAAAGGGAAATAGCTCGAAAGCTTGGGAAATTTTTGGTCCCGCGGCAAAAATCTCGGAGATTTTAGAGCCTGTAGGTTTTCCGAAGAGCTCTAAAATCTCCGAGATTTTAGAGCCCCTAGGGAGCCCGCAGGAGGCATTTTAAAGGCGAGCCGGCAAATAAATCTAGGTCGCGCGCGAACGAAATGACCGCAAATGGCCGCGCCATAATATTCAGAAATAAATCATAAGATTCTGAAATATTTCTTTAAAATTTTAAGTTCTAATCTATCATCCCGCCCTTCAGGAATGCCTCCAGATGGATATCCGCTTCTTGGGGAGAATAAGTTAATCGATATAACAATATCCCTAAATACGTTAATAACGATATTCCGTTGCATGCGCTCTGCTAATTTCTCTTTCATTATCTGCGCAGATATTCGACGGATTATATAAATTCGAGACGGAGAATTAAAATATTTCAGAATTTATAGATTGCGCATATGTGCCAAATCATCCGAAATGCGAAGACCTCGCAATCAAAAAATCGTATATCTGCGCAACGATTCGGCAGAACGTAAAAATCCGAAATCTAAATCTAAAATCTTTCAGAATTTTTCTATCATACGCATCTTTAATAAAAAAAAAATATTTTATCAAATTTCATGAATAGATATATATATTATTCATTCATTAGAATTTCTTATTATTTATTATTCTAATCAGAAATTCATATACCCTCCTATTCCGTGATGAGCATAAATTCAGAAAAAAAAATCTATAAATAATTTGATAACTATATATATATAAATCTAAGAAAATTATAGATCTATCCCGTATATAAAATAAAAGAAAAAATATAAAATAAATCAATAATTTTCAAAAAATAATCGTAATAATGCCAATATATATTCATTTCTCTATATCTCAAGATTTTTGAATTAAATCGAATTCGATTATAGATTTCGAAATTCATCATAGAATTAATTCTGAGAATTACGTATGAGCCGTCCATCTTGTCTAGTTGTAAATTTAGAGTATAAAAAATTATTGATCCCAAGATATTTGATATTAGAAAAAATCTCGCGTAATAGTTCCTCCGTGCCGAGAAAAAGAAAATAATGATGATTTTATGAAATGAGAATTTTATCGAAGATCATGGCGAATTGAAATGAAATCCTCCAGGGCAGCCATAAATTTTGACTGCAACGACGCATAAGCGATGGCTGTTGGACGCGTTTGCCCGGCACATCTGGCCAAGGGCAACTACTGCATTTTACCTACGCAAATGCTCACAAGTCCGGCTGGCCTACTGTGCTTGCATGCCGCCACTCACTGGCCTGAGCACTTGAAATACACGCTATGTACAAAGCGCAGCGAAACATGGGAGCAAATTCCCAATGCGCATACGATATCTGAGCAATCGTCAATACTCATGTATCAGGGTAAGGAATGCCGTGAGATATCAAAATCAAAAGACCAACAGGACCTCCGCAAAGCGTTACCCTGAATGGAAGATTGGAGCATGACCGCGCTTTGGCTGATCCCACCCAGAATTCACAGCATTCTCTTATCTGGATCCCGAGCCATCCATAGATTGCTTATTCAAAGATGCAGTCTCGACGAAAGCTCATCTAGGTCTTGACTGCACGGACTTGCATCAGGAAATGGCCCGGAAGCCCCAGTCCTCAGGTCTGCTGGATGCACATAGCCGTAGTTCCATGGCTGCAGCAGGCATGGCATGCACATTATGCTTCGTGTCCAATCGCGTCCAACCGTGTGCTCACTCTGACACCGTAACCCATCTGAGGCCTTGGCGAGCAACCACGCAAAGCACCCACATTCGGGCTTCCGAGAGCGCGCAGAGCGCGCCACCTGCAATCCCCAAATTGCTCGGCAGCACGACAACAAACAAGGGTGCTCGTTGCTGGGCCAGCACCTCTCGGGTTCGCAGCCGAGCTTGCAGCGTTGCGCTGTGCTCCTGCTGTTGCTGAAGACTTGCAAGAACAACATGACAAGCGATAATGAACAGCAATCTCACCGATGCAGGCTAAGATCATCAGTGCATGTTTTAACTGATAGACCAAACAGGCGCCATGCAACTAGACATCCTCTGGAGATCTCGCTTGCAAGTGCAAGCAAGCTTCCAGCTCATGCTATGCAATGTTGGGTCGGCTTTGTATCTTGGCCTCCACTACAGTACCCGCAAAAACTAGAAGTGGGGACCCTCTTTAGGAAAAACCTCCCACAGCGTTGAAGGCTTTGAAGATTGATTTAAACGGATAGTCTCGATTCTGCTAAGACCTAAATCCAAAAAAAGTTGAGCAGGAGCTTGAAACCTTGGCCTGAACATCTTTACCGTGGAGCCAAAACACATCATAGAGGACCACCAGAACGGTGCAGGTCCAACATCATCAGTTTCCAGTGTGATTACATGAACAAAATAATTCCTGGTTACAGTCTCCACAAAAACCCAATAAAATCCATGTGCGGCCTCTTCGCTGCGAAGCTGGGCATGGAGTCGCGCATTTTCTGCCTGCTGTCTTGGAAGCTTTAAAGGAACATGCGACCTTCTCACAAAGAACACAATAACAATGCGCCTACAATCGCAAGGCTACAGATCTTGCCTGGCATTGCGCCAGCTGCTGTTGCAGCAGTGCCTCTCGTGCATTGTACGTTGGTTCGGAAAAGCAACATGCGGAAGATAGGTAAGTGCCATGGAGAGATAGCAGACAAGGGAGCAAGCGAGAATGAGTGCAAAAGTCGAGACCAAGTTAACCCAAGAATTTTCAAATCACAGGCCTCCGGCCGTGGTTGCGCCACTTCGCCTTTGAGGACTTCCAGGAGCGCTGCGCTGACGATCTGCTCGGACGCGAGCTCGTTGCGCAGCCGCTCCTGCACGCGGTCCATGAAGCAAGGGATCTTATAGAGCAACAGTTGACTTCCAGAGGCTCAGACGTTGAACAAAATCTACAAAACAAGCAAGCCAAGCCCAGGGTTGATCCCATCAAAGGCAGAATAACGAGCCAACATTGCTATCGGCGAGCTGAGAAAAACAAATGCTGAAATCAAACCCTCATTTGTTTTGCCAAGCTTGAAAGCCCACAACAAAATCAAAAACATCTAAGGATCACCAACAGTAGACAAAGCGTGCGGCCGAATATGGTTTGCTGCTGTTGTGCATCCCTTTGCTGTTTTCGATGGTTGGAGGAAACAGGCTTACGGGTGTTTTTGTGTGCTAAAATGTTCGCATGCCGGCATATGATGCACATGTGGGGCTGTGGGGATTGGGTGGTATGCGAACGAGTGTCAGGCTTGAAAGGGCGTGGCTCCCGCAGACCACACCTCCTACCATTCCGCAATCCTCCATCCAAACACCAGCACACCCATCCCGCACAACCCGCCAGAGAAACAAAGAACCCCCTGGGACCTGAGCTCAGAAAGAATTTGTGAGGCAGAGTTTTGTGCCAGGTGAATTCAGGCGGCTGTCAAACAAACCTTTGACTTAACGTGGTGTTCGCACAAATGCTTCATGAACTTGAAGCTTTGGCCCCTCGGGACATCATGGGGGTTCATGATGCAAAACTTTACATGTTCTGTTTTGCGGTTTGAAGAGATGTGGCGGTGCCTGGTCAGAGCATACGTAGTTTCGTATCTCGCTGTGGATATGATGGCCGGCTTGCAGCCGCAGCGAAGACTCAGAACTTCGTGTAGTCTCAGCCAGCTTATGGCTATGTGCTTCGGGTTAAGATGCCAAGGTCTCCTACTTATAAAGTTGAATACAGAAGCAAAAACGAACAAGCACAAGAAGAGGTACTAGCAACAACACTAACCACATCATCCCATGGTCGGACTCTTTCCATTTGACCTCGGTAGCAAACAAAGAATCTGGGAATGTCTTGAGACTTATTGCTAAATACAATACCGAGCCTTACAAAACCTATAATTTGAGGGAGGTTCCTTGCGCAGTTTAGCCAGAATCCCCCATAGAAATGATGGGGCAGAAGCTGTGCACGGATGTCATTTGCAAATGGGACAGGTCCAGCGACTGGTCAGAAATGTATTCTATTGAATTCCTGCTTTTACTGACGGAATTGGTGGAAATCGACTGTCAACCAGGACTGTGAAATATCAAGGACAATTCATTCGCAAGTGGACTTTCCTGAGAGACCAATGAATATGACTGACTCAAGTGCCGGAGACACAGAACCTTGCAACAATCACTTGCCTGGGAGGCTTCCATCTTGGCCATTCGCAGCTGGACACGGTTCAGCTTGACCTCGCAAGCCCGATGGAGCGAGGCAAAGGAACCATGACACGGCCTGCTTCGAACTCGTGGATGGGGGCGCTGTATGCACTTGAATTCACCAATGGTTCTGCCTAACCAGCTGCAGCTATGACTGTCCCAACTGCAATAGAACTTTGCGAGGAGTTCTGGATCGAACCGATTGGGACCTTACAGTGGCATGCCAATGTCAGCTTCCTGCAGCTCAAAGTCTGAGCTCTTCCGCCGGTAGCGCTATGGCCATGCTCCCTCCCAAAGCTGTGCTCTTCAGGTTGGCTAACAGCCAGCACAAGGCACGCTTGTCAAAAGCTGGCAAATACAAAGCATTGAACAGCTTGTACGAGGTCATCCCAAGCCCGAGCTGCAGAAACAGCTAAGCCTTTGGACATCTATTCCGGAAAGCGTGGGATGCAATTGGAGCTTCATGGGTCTCAGCAACCACTTACAATTGGTATCCAATAAGCTCCACCAAACAATTTGAGGATAGCTTGCCACGGTTTTGAGCTGGGATACAACAGAATGTATGAGTAGTAATTCTGGGAACCTTTAAGCCAAGCATGTGCTGTGGTTAAAGTAATTTCGCAGGCTGACCGTATACAGACTGGGGCGGCAAAATTCAAAGCTTCGGTGGTTAGAGTTAAGGGCTCAGACTTGGGTATTGCCCTGCCACACAATTTGATCCGGCCGGTACATGTTGACATTCTACACCTCTAGCTGAAGAGTGTTGAGGTCTGTGCTGCACTCGCGCCTCGCTGTCAGTGTCCGTGCTGGACCAGCTGCTGCCTGTGGAGCCTGGCATCGGGCAGGGAGCGGATGCAGGAAAGGGGAATTGTTGTGGGTAAGGGCCGAAGACCTTGCTGCACGGCACCCTCCTCAGGCTCGGTCACCGTGGCTTTGACCTTCGCTTCATGCATAAAGGGCCGTGTCGGGGCAGCGCAGCATGTCGGTACAGGATTGCGAAGCTGAGACGTCAGCGCGGACCGTTGTGAATTCGGAGGGCCTGGATGCAGGCAGCTGCATGACCAGGCCCAGTGCAGGCAGCTGCTTCCTGAAAACTTTGACACTACAAGGCTCTGGACAACTCAAGCCCCCCGAATCCCTGCACCACGAATTCCACGGCCTCCTTTTGGACCCTACTACAACCGCTCAGTTCCAACAGCTTAGCATGAGAATTCAAGACTGCTTCAGCATCTTAACCTGCGTACACGGCTGATGCCCTGGCCGGGATACAGAGGAAGGATTCCGGATTCCGTAGGCATTTTGACACATAGCTTAATGCCCTCTAAGCTGCAGAACACTCTGGAAAGGTTCTGGGTGAGGCTCTAGCACCAGTCGCTACACCAAAGACTGAGCCTTGCGCTCCTAAGAAATTTCATGCACCCCCGCCACGCAGATTGCGAGGTTGAATTGCAAAAATTCACTGTCACAAGTTCACTCATTCGCTCTCTTACTCACTGAGTGACTCAGTCACTCCATCACCTCCAAGAAGTTCAACAAATTGAGGCTCAGGCTGCCGAATCGTGTGAACTTGGGACGGTGTTGCACATTTCGGACTGATTGCCATGTCTCGCTGAGGAGCTTAGCTTCTCGACTGCAAAATTACCAGCTTCCTGTGATCCATCGTTCTCTCATGAAAATAGCACGGCTCTTCAAAAGCCTGTTTCCCCTCTGCAGGAGACAATTAAGAGCACCAGCCAGGTGAAGGTCAAGCCCAGCATCACACTGACGATAGGCAAGGCGACGACCCGACAATAAGCACTGTCAAGAAGGACCTCTGTCACATATTCTTTGTCAGCTGAGCTTACGACGCCACCGGCGACCAGACATCATTGCGGCTGCCTGCTTGTGAGATTAGCAGGCTCCAGATCTTGCGTAAACGCACCCGTCAAATTGAAGCCAATGATGTGAAGCCAATGATGAAAATGCAGCAAGACAGTCTCAAAAGAGCCGGGATGCGGAATCCATTGCCATGCCGAGCAAGCACTATCACAAAATGTTGTGAGGTCTAGGTTTCTGGTGCAAGTTTGTACGCTAGGGATTGCGCCCTTGAATGCACTGACAAACGGGACCTTGACCTTACCCCGAAATTACCCCAAACGCGGATTACGATTTAATCCCCATCATAAACCAATCTTACTCCCTCACATGGAAATCATGAAGCGAAAGCCATTGTCTGGTGCTTGGGGGCGATCAGCCTGCTGATATCTGCTGATGCTAGAGCGGACTGATCAGGTGTGACCAGGAATGTCTCTATCTCGGGCCCAGATCTTGCAGCAGCTCATCGACTGCAATCGCAGCACGCGATTTCAAATCAAAATTCATGCATCGATATTTTCCAAGATCCAGAAAGGAGATTCACTTCAAATCTCTGATTAAATCATTAGGTAGTTGCAGGTGCCTGCACGTGCACAAACGTAATTGGAGCTCCATTAAAGACTTGATCTGCCTCATCTTGCGTGTTCGGGGAGTTAACCAATGACATACAGGGTGCTTGGCACTGGAAAAGGTACGTCCCGACAGAATGTATCGCCGGCCACCCCATGAAGGAACATAAATAAAAAAGGATGATGGAGATCGGGGAGAAATCCATTGAAGAGTTCGGCAAGATGAAATGGGTAAACGTATTTTTGCCTGCAGCGATCGGCAAGCGTTTCCTGCTAGGCAGGTGATTGCCCGGCACATCTGGCCAAGAGCAACTATTGCATTTTACCTACGCAAATGCTCGCAAGTCGGGCTGGCCTACTGTGCTTGCATGCCGCCACTCACTGGCCTGAGCACTTGAAATGCACGCTATGTACAAAGCGCAATGAAACATGGGAGCAAATTCCCGATGCGCATACGGTATCTGAGCAATCGTCAATACTCATGTGCCAGGGTAAGGAATGCCGTGACGTATAAGAATCAAAAACATTCAAAAACAATAGGACCTCTGCAGAGCGTCATCCTGGATTGAATATTGAAGCATGACTGTGCTTTGGCTGATCCCCCCCAAAGCCTCAGCTTTCTCCTATCCGGATCCCGAGTCATCCATAGATTATTACATATGCCGTCTCGACGAAAGCTCATCTGAATCTAGACTGCACGGACTTGCGTCAGGAAACGGCGCGGAAGCCTGCCCAATCCTCAGGTCTGCCGGCTGCACGTAGCCGTAACAGCAGGCATCGCGCACGTTATTCTTCGTGTCCAATTGTGTCCAATTGCGTCCAACATCGTGCTCACCCTTACACTGTGGTCAACCTGAGGCCTTGGCGAGCAACCACGTAAAGCACCCACATTCGGGCTTCCGAGAGCGCGCATAGCGCGCCACCTGCAATCCCCAAATTGCTCGGCAGCACGACAACAAACAAGGGTGCTCGTTGCTGGGCCAGCACCTCTCGGGTTCGCAGCCGAGCTTGCAGCGTTGCGCTGCGCTCCTGCTGTTGCTGAAGCTTTGCAGGAACAACGCCGGGAATCATGACAAACGAGAGTGAGCACCGATCTCACCATCAGTGCATGTTTTGAACTGGATAGACCAAACAGGCGAGAAATGTGCTCGGAAAGCGGTCAACCACGCCAATCCGCTAGAGACGTCGCTTGCAAGTGCAAGCAAGCTGCCAGCTCATGCTATGCAACAGTAGGCCATCTTTATTTAGTCTTGGCCCCGACTACAGTAGGCTCCTCCAAAACCCAAAAAAGGGACCCTCTATAACAGCAAGCCTCTCACAGCTGTGAGGGCTCTGGGGACTGATTAAGCATTTAAAGGGATGGTCTCGATTTTGTCAAGACGGAAAACCCGAACAGATTAAACAAAAGCTTGATTGAAACCTTGGCCTGAGCATCTTTACGGGGGAGCCGAAATATATCATAGAGCTGCAACAACGAAGCAAGTCCAACGTCATCAGTTTGCAGTGCCGTTACATGAACAAAACCAATTTCCGGCTACGGTCTCCATAGAAACCCATTCGCGGCCTCTTCGCTCCGAAGCCGGGCATGGAGCCGCGCGTTCTCTGCCTGCTTTCGTAGAAGCTTTAAAGAAACATGTGACCTTGTCACAAAGGAGGCCATGAGCACCCCTGACACCGCTGCGCCTACAATTGCATGGCTAAAGATCTGGCCTGGCAGTGCGCAAGCTGCTGTTGCAGCAGCGCCTCTCGTGCATTGCACGATGGTTCGGAGAAGCAACATGCGGAGGATACGTGAGGGCCATGGAGAGCTAGCAAACACGGGAGGAGAACAGGTGCCTTAGGTGTGAAAGTCGAGACAAAGTTAATCCAACAACTTTCGAATCACATGCCTCCGGGGCTGGTCGCACGACTTCGCCTTTGAGGACTTCCAGGAGGGCTGCGCTCACGATCTGCTCCGACGCGAGCTCTTTGCGCAGCCGCTCCTGCAAGTGGTCCATGAAGCAAAGGAAAACTCTAATCCCATCTAGCAACAGTTGACTTCCAAAGGCTCACACGTTGAACAAAATCTACAAAACGAGCAAGCCAAGCCCAGGGTTGATCCCAAGACATGCTGAAATCAATCCCTCATTTGTTTTGCCAGGCTTCAAAAAGCCCACCACACCAACATTAAACAATCTAAGGATCAGCAGTAGTAGATAAAAGCGTGCATCCGAAAGTGGAATAGAGGTGGTTTGTTGCTGTTGTGTATTCCTTTGCTACTTTTTGATGGTGGCGGTGAATGGTTCGTAGAAACAGGCCGCTTCTTGGGATTTTGGTATGCTGAGATGTTTGCATGCAGGCAGGCGTCGACCTTTTCGCAGAGCAAGTTTGGGGTCATTGGTTTAGGGTTGAAGGGTGAAGCTCAAGCGATGTCCTGCTGTGCTGGTTGGGTTTGGAGGGCGAGCTGTGGAGAATTGGTGGCATGTGAGTCAGTGAGGGTGGTAGAAAGGGTGTGGCATGGGTGTGGTCAATCATCAAATGCCCGCAATCCAGACACATGCGCAATCATTCCGGACAATTCACCAAGGAAACAGAGAAACAACTCGGACATGGGCTCAGAAAGAATTTGTGGCGCAGAATTTCGCTCGACGTGAATGCAGGCGGCTTTCTAACAAAGCTTTCACGTTGTGTTGACACAAGTGCTTCATGAAACTGAAGCTTCGGCCGTTCGGAACATCATGGGGGTTCATGATGCAAACCTTTCAGAGCGTAGTTGTGGATCTGTTTATGGACGTGATGGCTGCGGGTTGCAGCTGCCGCGAAGACGGAGGACTTCGTCTAGTCTCAGGTTCTTTACGGTTGCTTGCCTCAGGTCAAGATGCTGAGGTTCTGTACTGGAAGTTGAATACATAAGCAAAAGCCAGAATGGCAACAAGTAAAACAAAAGGTGCCAGCATCAACAATAGCCATCATGCTGACTCTTTTCATAAAGGAGACATAAGGCCTCGGTAGCAAAACGGAAAATCTCGTCTTGAGACTGATTGCAACAATACGACACCAAGCCTTGTAGAACCATGATTTGAGGGAGGTTTGTGGCACAGTCAGGCCAAAGTGACCAACAGAAGCCATGGGGCAGAAGCTAAGCACAAACAGAACTTTCCAACAACTGCTTGCCTGGGAAGCTTCGAGCTTGGCCATCTGCAGCTGGACACGATTCACCTTGACCTCGCAAGCATTCGCAAGCCCAATGGAGCAAGGCAAATACATCATGAAACGTCCTGCTTCGATGGCGAGTACATAATGATGCTCGTGGATGGGGGCCCGCTATCTACTTGAATTCCCCAGTAATTCCGCCAAACCAGCTGCAGCTATGGCTGTCTCAACTGCAACAGGCTGCAATAGAACTTTGCGAAGGATCTTGCATCGAACCGATTGGGGCGACGATAAACGCTGCACTTGATACGCTGGACCTTACACCGTGGCATGCCAATGTCAGCTTTCGGCACCTCAGAGTCTGAGCTTTTCCGGCGGTAGCGCTATGTCCATGCTCCCCCCAAAGCTGTGTTCCCCAGGTTGGCTAACGGGCCAGCACAAGGCACGCTTGTCCAAAAACTATGTACAAGGTCATCCCAAGCCCGAGCTGCAGAAACAGCTAAGCCTTTGGACATCTATTTCCGGAAACCTCGGGATGCAATTAGGGCTTCATGTGCCTCAGCAACCACTTGAAGACCTACACTTGGCTTCCAATAAGTTCCCCCGAACAGCTTGAGCATAGCTTGCCACATCTTGCCACGGTTTTGAGCGAGGAAGCAACAGAACGTACTTTTAAGTATGTGTTGTGCTTGAGAGGAGTTGCACAGGCTGACCATGTACAGACCGGAGCGACAAATTCAAGAGCTTCGCGGGTTGGAGTTTGGGGTCCTACACATCTAGCCGAAAAGTGTTCAAGTCCGTGTGGCATTCACGCCTCGCGGTCAGTGTCCGTATCGGCCAAGCTGCTGCCTGTGGAGCCTGGAATCGAGCAGAGAGTGGATGCAGGCAGGGGTTTGCGGGGAGCTTAGGACGAAAGATGATGTAAGGGCTTAGCCAAGACCTTGCTGGACGGTGCCCTCCTCGGAGTCGGTACGCATGGCTTTGACCTTCGCTCTAGGTCAAGGGCCCAAGGCGCATCATTGGTCAAATGGCTGCCTGGTGTTGCGAAGCTGTAGCTGAGACGTCAGCGCGAACCGTCGTGAATTCGGAGGGCCTGGATGCAGGCAGCTACATGACCAGGCCCAGTGCAGGCAGCTGCTTCCTAAAAACTTTGACACTACAAGGCTCTGGACAACTCCAAACCCCCCGAATCCCTGCACCACGAATTCCACGGCCTCCTTTTGGACCCTACTACAACCGCTCAGTTCCAACAGCTTAGCATTAGAATTCAAGACTGCTTCAGCATCTTAACCTGCGTACACGGCTGATGCCCTGGCCGGGATGCAGAGGAAGGATTCCGGATTCCGTAGGCATTCTTTCGCATGTCGCTTCGTGACGAAGCTCAATGCTCTCTAAGCTGCCGAACACTCTAGAAAGATTCTGGATGACGCTCTACCATTAGTCGCTAATTGTTGAGCTCCTAAACGCTTCGAAATTCCATTTCCACCCAAACTATCCCAAACTTCACCCCCGCCACGCAGCTTGCGAGGTTGCATTGCAAAACCTCTCTCACTCACTCACTCTCAGTGACTTACTCACTCCATCACCTCCAAGAAGTTCAACAAATTGAGGCTCAGGCTGCCGAATCGTGTGACCTCGGGACGGTGTTGCAAATTTCGGACTGATTGCCATGTCTCGCTGAAGAGCTTAGCTTCTCGACTGCAAAATTACCAGCTTCCTGTGATCTATCGTTAAAAGTCTGTTTCCCCTTCTGCAGGAGACAATTGAGAGCACCAGCCAGGTGAAGGTCAACCCCAGCATCACACTGACGATAGGCAAGGCGACGACCCGACTATGTAATATATTCTTTGTCAGCTGAGCTTACGACGCCACCGGCGGCCAGACATCGTTGCGGCTGCCTGCTTTCTGAGATTAGCAGACTCCAGGTCTTCCACAAGCGCACCCGTCAAATTGAAGCCCATAATGAAGATGTAGCAAGACAGTCTCAAAAGAGCCGGGATGCAGAATCCATTGCTATGCCGAACAAGCACTATCGCCAAATGCTGCGAGCTCTAGGTTTCTGGTGCAAGCTTGTACGCTATGGATTGCGCACTTGAATGCACTGACAACTTGGACCTTAACCTCACTCCGAAATTCTCCCAAATGCGGATTACGAGGCAATCCCCATCAAGAACGAATCTTACTCCATGAGACTGACATTATCAGAGATAAACCATTGTCTAGTGCGCGGGGCGATCAGCCTGCTGGTAATGGTCCATTTTCTGATTAGTAGCACTATCATTGATGTGGTTATGAGTATTATTCTTGCTATTACTCCTATGGAGAAAACTCATCAGGTGTGACCGCGAAGGTGTGTATCTCGGGCCCAGATCTTGCAGCGGCTCATCGACTGCAATCGTCACAGGCTCCGAGCTTCAAAAAAAAGTTCCAGAGCGTTACAAGCACAATCCAGTAGAAAACTTCATTTTTATCATGCCTCATACTCATCATAAAAATCAGAAAAATCAATATACAATTTATTCTAGACCGTAAACCCTAAATCCCAGGTATCGGTGCGAGCGAAATACGTTTTGGAACCCCCGCCCATCTCAATTCCTCAAAGGCCATCTCCAATCAGTATATGTGAATAAATATATACATAAAAATGTATATAATTCCCAAACTCAAACTTCCCACATATTTGAGGTAGGATTCTTGACCCTATGTTGAAGGCATCCAGCGCCAAATTTCTTTCTTAACTTCATGAGGGAGCTAAGCCGTACACTGGTTGTCTTAAGGTCCTGACCCACAGAGCTCGTGTCTTTTGCAGGCGCTTGCTTTGAAACACCACTAAAGTCACTCGCTCACTTCGCGGAGGCAATGGTCTCATTGCTACTGGCAGTGGTAGTGGTACATGCAACGCCTGGGCAGGAGAGCTCCAAAAGCAAAGCAAGCAACACCCAGACCCGCTGAACAGGCTTTGTCACACTCCACAATCTACAAGCTTACATCAGTGAATGAGTGTGGGTTCCTGCATCAAAGGCACTTCGCGCGTCACTTTGACGTGCGAGAGATGAGATTGATGGCCTTGGCAACAAGATGCGACAAATGAGGCTTCAGAAGCCAACTGGAGCTTTTCAGCAGAATGAGTCACTGAGTATTCTCAGCTGCAAGATCTTGTACGAGTAGGGGCCCAGGGCTTCGGAGCATGCACATGCACTTGACATCTCCAAGGCACTCATCAACCTCCATGAGCCGCGAGACCTGTTCAGCGATTCTCGGGCTAGCAACCCAAACAAAAATGCGGCTGGCTGCCAGGTAGTTGCCGGTGGAACTAGCGAAGAACAAACATACACACAATGAAGCGGCAAAGAGAGAGAGGAGGGAGAGAGGAGGGAGAGAGGGGGAAGGCAGGTAGTGCTCTCAACATTGAATGTCTTGCAATCAAGGAGCACAGCTGTAGAGCTCAAAGGCAGCCTTAAAGCAGGAAGGGTCAGCTTTGAGCTAAGTAAGACCATGTTGGGGTAATATTGGTATAATGGAACAGAAAATGGAAACTACTGTAGCATGTTGGGGTTGTAGTGGCAAAATGGAAAAGAAAATGCTAACTACTGTAGTATATTGGAGTTATGTTGCTATATAGAAAAGAAAAGGAAGTTTCAAATGTACTGGATTCATAAGGCATATTTAAACTGTGCTGGTCCGCTGAAAGCTAGCAATCCTATGACAGGTTCTATGCTGCATCCTCCATGGAACAAGGACAACTGCTGCACTCGGCCCACGGCTCGTGAACACTTCAGCATCCGCTCTGCACTGAACTCTGGATCCTTTGTGCCAGAAGCTTTGCAACTGCTGGTCAAAGCAAAAGTGCAATACAGGAAGGGCTGCACTTCCTGACCACAAGACACGGCACCCGGCTGAGTTCTCAAATTCAGATCACGCAGAAGCTCTACGCAGGTGTATTACAGGCAGGATGCTTCTGCTTCAAGTCCCAAAAAAGGAGCCTTGAAGTACTTCTTGATCTTGGCCCGCTGGGATGGCCCGACGTCCTGCCAGGGGCACAGACGTTTTGACAGCTTATGGATGTGTAGAATCAAGATGCTGGCTCGATCAATCCTTGAACCAACCTGCTTCAGCTTTCCTAAGCCCCTCTCCGCGCAAAAGAGAGTAAAACATCATACACCGTTGGTTGCAAGAGTCATCTGCCCCTGGGTTCAGGCCTTGCCATGGGATCTCAGCTTTGAAAGCAGGAATGGGTCTGACAGCAAGTATCGCCGAGCCTGAGCACAAGAAGTCCAGAGACATTGCTTCAGCTTAACTGCTGCTCAACATACGCTTTCAGTCGTTGCCAGTCCATGCCAGTCCGATACGCAACTTTAGGGCACTGGCCGGCTCCCAGTAGTCGGTTCGCAATCGATGATGAACCTGGACAATCGGCTGAGCCATGAAAGCAGTTTTCGAAAGGATCTGGATGCTCCAACAATTCAAAGCTTCAGCGGTGTAGACTTGGAGTCTCAAGGCATGTCTTCCAGAAGTATATGCAGTCAAGGCGCGCATTGCTCGTCCAAGTGCTTGACAGGCTGTATGTGGAACAGCAGGCAGCACACCTCCGTAGCCCACAATGTCAGGAGCCAACTATCACATACAGTAGCCGTCAGGTTTGCGGTGATGCGATTTCAAGCTGCAGTGCGCAACCATCCTCCTAAATAGTGGTGGGGTCAGCACTGTAGACTGTGCCTTCCCAGACAAACTGCATGCACAATGCTCCAAGAAATAGGCAGCTGATGGCAGCTGCAAGCATCAAAGACACGGGCGCGAACGCTGCAAGGACGGCATGGCCTCCATCAGCATCCGAATCGGCGGGGGAGGCTTCTTCAAGGCTTTGATCTCTGAAAGATCGCCTGAGATCCAAAGGAGCTTTGGCACAGCTGGGCTCAGGAGTCTCTCAGGACTTTGACCCTGTTTGCTGATCATGATTGTTGCCGCTCTTTCCACAGAACCTGCATGGAACATGCAAGGACTGTCTTCAAAAGAACAAGTCCATGACCTAATCGTTCAGCGTGCACCACTGGACTGAGGCAACACCATGATGCTGCCATTCCACGAAGCGAGAGCTGCGCCAGCTGCTCGCCGATACCCCGAGCGCTTGGTGGTGAGGTGGGCGCCTGCATGCGCTTTTGTCCAAGGTTTGATTGTCTAGGGGGCTGGGGCCAACCTAAAAACGCGACATGCAAGCGACTTCAACTCCTGATTCTTAGTATACATGATGCTGCCCATAGGCAAGAGGGTTAATCAGTGTGAGTAATGGGCAAGTAGTATCAAAAGTCGAGTCAATCAGCAAAAAAAGAAGGCATATAGCGCTGCGGACGGTAGTGCTATCGGAGTCTATGCTGGCTCAAAGTCATCCCAAATGCGCCTCACGCTGCTTTGTGGCCTTGTTCCAACTTGGATTCCTGACGTGTGCTCAGAGTGGTCGCTTTTGAGCTTCAGTGAAGCTTCACAGGAGGACTCCAGGAATTGGTAGTTTCCCAAAATAGGGAACCCCAATCTAGACCCTGATATACTACAATCCTTATTATGGGGACCCCCCAAAAACAGGTACCCCTGATTTTGGGAAACCCCCAATTGCAATGCAGTGATGCTTGCTGGGGATGCGCAAGGCTTTCTTAGAAAAGCATTCCTTCTTTCACATGGATATTTGCCAGTTGCGATGTGTGGTTTGCGAAAGTAGTATTGAGAGGAGCCTAGTCTTGCACGCCTGCGTTGACACCCCTGTGAAACCTCACCACCCTGCAATCGCTTCTACAAACATCTGAATTCTTGACATGACCGCAGTGTCAGCCCTGCTACCTACCTGCCTCTGCTGCAGTAGCACAGGACCCCCGACTGCATCCCGCCGAGCATCCTGAAAGGCGGCATGTGGTTTACTGGTTTATCTGGGAAACATATTTGGTACTTTCCCAAAATAGGGGGACCCCAATATAGACCCCAATATACTATAGTCCTTATTATGGGGACCCCCAAAAAAGGTACCCCTAATTTTGGGAAACTCCCATTTCAAAGTGAAAAGGTAAAACTCGCGTGGGCAGTGCTTTGGGCAGCTTTGGTGTGCCTGCTCTGCACTGGCAGGCTCGACATGTGCCAGCCTCGGCATTATCGTACACGGATGCCCACTCTCGCAGAAGGCCACCGGCAGTTGGTAGCTCTTCCTTCAAACTTGAAACTGGGAATGTGCAGCAACCTGCTGCTTAAAGCTGTAAGGGGGATCCCGTCCACTGTCCTCGGCGTCCGGATCTTTGAGACCATTTGCAGCTGACAACTGTGGCGCCACGGCAAAGCCTTCCAACCTGGTCGCTAAAGGCCACGGCTGAAGCCGGTGGTCACTCATGCTGAGTTTCCCTAATTGGGGGGACCCCAATATCGACCCCATAATACTCTAATCCTTATCAAAAGAAAGGGACCCCCAATGATCCCCAAAAAATTATCACAGTCCCAAACATTCATTGAAGGCATGCGATGCGAGGCACTTTTTGAAGCTAACTGGGCTGAAGGCCGCTCTTTGACCTTCCGCGACTTGGCTGCTGCTTCAGCGACGTCAACCTGACATGTTCTCTGCACAGCACTGGGCTAGAGCTCATCCGTATGCCCCGCTGTCCATCAAGCCTAGCCGTTCGTTACGCTGTTTAGGAATGCCACCATTGCCACTTCAATGGCTGTGTCGGTTCGCAGAGCAACCGGTCAGCAGGCGGAGCAGTAGATTTTCTAACAGGAAGCACCCAAGAAGTCAGGTCAGGGGCATGCATGACCCAATCTAGTATTTTTGTTTGAAGCTTTTGGCATTTTGCTAGGGGCTCCCATGAATTCTGCAGGCATCTGTAGGCCAAACTGAGAGGGCGGTTCGCACGAGAGAACGTGATTTGGCCAGGATGTGGGATCACTCCACCCGACATCACCATTTCGCGCCAAAATCTGAATACACTCCACGTGAGAGCTGAATTTTAGACGTATGGAGCTTATATGCGCATGCTTCACGCGACAGCAAAACACCATGCGAAAATGGGATAGCAAGATTCCTGGAGTTGTCTCATTATTACTATTGCTTTTACTGATACCATTTTTGTATTCCATGAGTCCCTGTGGTCGTTATAGCAATACCCAGTTAGTAGTAGTAGTAGTAGTAGTACTACTACTACTACTACTAGTACTACTACTACTACTACTACTACTACTACACCACTACTACTACGACGACAACAACGACGACGATGACGATGACTACTACTACTACTACTACTACTACTCCTCCTCGGAATAGGAATAGCAATAGTAATAGTAACAGTAACAGTAGTACTAATAGTAACAATCATCGTGATAGTAATAGTGGGAATAGTACAGAAAGCCTCGCACTAAAGGCCCCAGTTGTTCGCATTCCTTTTTTGGCTTCTACTCCGGAAAAAGGTGAACACATGGCCTTTGTAGGTGGTTTGGAAAATGTATTTCTGAGCGCTCCGTCGAGAATATGGAACACGGGATATCTCAGGAGCACGTCTACTAAATTTCGAGCTGTAGTCTAAACTCCCAGCATCCCCCTTAATAAGCCCAAACCCTAAGCCCCAATCCCTAAGCCCCATAGAATTCAAACATGACCCTCTTTGAGGGCTATAGCTCATATGTAAGACAGGCATGCTCTCTTGGCCGGTCCTTGATTGAGGATCTGGAGGCCTAGTGGGAGTAGGAGGAGCCCTGGGAGGTGCTGGGGGGGGATAACATAGAAACAAAAGCGAGCACCACAAAAAGAGCAACACAAATGGACACCACAAAAAGAACAAAATAGATAGATCAACAACTATGGGATTTTCCTGTAGACGGTCACCGAATGCCCAGTCAATCATCAGAACAACCGCTTCTGCTACAACTGAATCATGCACGATCTGTAGCAGGCAGTGGTTCGTTGAGCTTAACCCGCAGGAAACTCACTGGAAGGATTCTTATTAGAGTTAAGAAGGGCCTCGTAGTTTCTGGATTTTATTGGGCGGCACGCGGCATTGCAGAACCACAACTTTATGCCCCGAGAGCCTCCTCAATGTCTCGAAGCTGATCCCGCAGAGCATCCAGCAATGTCTGGCGAGCAGGTCACATTGGAGTGTCAATGAATGCTGCAAACAGGATGCAAAAGGTGTTCGGGACACGCCCCCGGAATCCCTTACTAACTTGTGAGCAAGTTATGTCAACGACTCAGCCGAACTCTACTTTACCCTTCCCACATGCGTGGACGAGGACATTTTTCGACGCGAGGACCCTTGCTATGGGCTGTATCTACCTATCCCTAGCCTGCCTGTTTTCAATGTGACTGCAAGACATGGAGCCAACATTCAAGGCCCAGTCCACTGCTTCAGCGAATGCTCTTTACGCACCTCCAAAGCAACAGAGTCCCGAAAGCCATGCTTTGAGAGAACCCCATGCACGCATCAATGCATTTGACTTCCCGCCTCCAACTGGCCCCGGGCCTCTTGCGCTGCAGAGGCACGGTTCTGCGCAGCGAGACGCAGGGCCTGCGTGTTAGCTTGGCAGGAGGGCTTGTCGTTGTTGCTCTTTTTGATCTGATTGTGAGTCGGCTGGAGATGCGCAACTTCTTCTACAAGAAGTTGATCATTATTTGAAAAGACGAGTCCATGATTTTTACTGGATGAAACATTGGCTGCAAGGTTTTGCGTGACGCGAAGAAAAATGAGTGGGATGTTGTCCTGGTCACTTCGCCATGTAATTCGTGGTGCTGCTTTGATGTTCCAGGAATATAATAATACAAAACCATATGGAACCCAAACAAACGAGCACCACGCAGAGCAGTTCAGCTCATATCCCATGGGGCCGAGCAGCGCCACGCAAATTCCGATGCACAAGCCAGGGCAAATTGCCATTCCCAGGCAGCCTCAGTCTTGTTGAGCTCGCCATCCAAAGAGCGATTTGCCTCCCGCTGTGATGACTTGGGTGTTCGTGCCCCTGCGTTTGCTGGATGTAAAACAGAGAATCAAACGAGTTTTGAGTGGCTGCTGCGCATACAGCGTGTTTCCAAAACACCTGAGGTTGCATGATTACACATATTACATTTTCAGGGCAGACATTGCGATAAACACTGCAGGAGACCCTAATGTTGAGAAACATCCATTCTCCGCACCCGGAAAGGTCATCATCAGTTGTGCACTCCGCTTGCCTCCTGCGCTTTGCGCAGTTTTCGGGTCAGCTCCTGGGAAAGTGTTGGTCGGCAGGTAATGTAGCACTGACACATCAGCCACGCACGGCTGAGTGATAGGAACACTGAGCAGCCGAAGACTGAAGGATGTGCATCGGATCATTGACACTGGTTTCAGAGCAACATGCTAGAAAATTCTAGATGCACTACATAGAGTCACGCCACCTTGCGCTTCCGTCATGAAGGGCTCTACTCTATTAATCTTGGTCACTTCATCTGGATTGTTGTTTCACCCTGGCTCCACGTGGATCTCAGACTTCTCGTGCAGCTGGCGACGGAGCTCATCGCGTTCGACCTGCGAGATTTTGGATCGTTGGCGTTCTTGGCAGTTCCGGGCCTTGTACATTTATAACGACTGCAAGGAGATCTTAGGGATGACGCTCAGGGAATGTAGAGATTGTTTTGAGATACTGCCATGGCAATTGTTCATGGACTCTGCAGAATGTGGAGTGCCGTAGTTTGTAATCGAGGAATGGAGGAGGTCGGGAAACGGAAAAGCAAGAAGAATCCTCATCATGTTGGGGTCTTTGGATCCTCGCAGCAATCTCTTTGATCCTTCCCGCGCGCTTCTCAGGAAGGCCCTGAGGGCGTCCCTATCCCATTGACTGTGTGGACTCCTTACCAGGCTGTCTGAAACCTCTCCCTTCCATGTCTCTGCTGGTGAATCCGTGGCAGTTTGTCAAGCCGTCTGCAGCATCTGCCCCTACCCTGAGTTCCAAAGTTTGCAGCAGGGTCCGAGAAGCTACCCATTCCCAACAACGCTGCCTTGCACCGCTGAAGGTCTGTTGCCAGCTGCGCAGCCCGGCCCTGGACGGGGCATGGACATTGCTGGTACTTCTAAAATGGTGTTTCCGCTTAAGATTCGCAAATCCAATGATGTCCAATGTCTCCGGAATCACGGGATTGGTGCAAACCTGATGTGATTTGCCTTTAGATAAACTGCCTGTTGATCGAATTGCCAGCATTGAATCCAAAGCGTCGACTGCTGCTGATCTGCTGCTGAAGCTGTTGCTGCTGCTCTAGGAGCCTCCCCCCTATCGCATGCTCCTACTGCAAGTCCCATCTGCCAGTCCTCCGCACTGCTCAGACGCTTGGAGGTTCTGCTGTGGGCGGTCTGCAAAAGCCAAGCACAAACTGGCAAGACGAATTGTTTCGACAGCTGCCACTGATGTCTCACCTGACGGCCCCGGCCTCCACATCCTGGCGAAGTGCCTTTTCCGTCCCCAAGGCCGATGTGAGCTCCTCCAGCTCAGCCTCAAGGCCTGGGAAGGACCGCGTCATTGGGAGCTTGAGCATGTTAAATTCTGAGTGCCTTTGCCACATCCATGTGCCTCTGGCCAGGACCCAACCCCACCCAGTTTCTGCTGCAGAGTGGCGAAGCACCTCCGCCGACTGGGCTGGCGTCACCTTGGCGGATCCTACCGCAGCCCCAAGGTGTAAATGGAAAATGCATCGCGCATCCAACAGAGCTGATGGATACTTTGTACCTTGCTGGCCAGGAATGAATCAGCAAATCTCTTAGGAAACTTGCCTAGCAGCCCAAAGCATGACTTGAGGTAATGGGATGCAAAAGCATAACAAGGCAAGATTTAAGCCCATGGCTGGAGCTTCACCAGAGGGCAGCTCAACCTCCTGCCTGGCAAGAGATTAGGGTAATTAATATAGGGATGATGGAAGAGAAAATGGAAACTACTATAATATTGGGGTTATATGGGGGTAATATAGGGATAATGGAAAAGAAAATGGAAACTACAGGGATTATAGGGATTCTATAGGGTTATATGACTATCTCTGCTTTGGTTCGTCTTGGCTCTGGCCTTTCCCAGCGTTGGGCACTGGTGCATGGCTTGATCGACTCCGTAACCAACTGACTAACCCGTCGCGGCTGGCTACGTCCTAGAACATGGCCTGTACTTAGCGAACGGGCTTATGCGTCTACCATACTCACCATGCTAATAAGCTCAATGAACTTACGTGTGCAGCCCTGACATGACCTAATATAACCCATTATAGTACTCTCCATTTTCCACTATCCCACATATAAACCTAATACAACCCATTATAATAGTTTCCATGTTCTTTTCCATCATCTCCATATAACCCCTTATGTACCCTGGATAATCCCTGTAGTTTCCATTTCCTTTTCCATTCTCCTAAGCCCTACACCCTAAATACCAAACCATGGGGTTATATTGGGTCATATTGAGGTAATATCCCTAAATCCTAAACCTTGAACCCTAAACCCTAAAACCCTTAACCATAAACCCGTTTCAGTAGTTTCCATTCTCTTTTCCATTATCCCAATAGAATCACCTATATATTCCCTATAATCCCTATATAACCCCTTATC